CTTTTAAAAGACAGAGATCACTGTAGTTGTGGGCACAGAGCGACGCTGAGAAAAAATTAACAGGATTCTCTGTAGTTTTTTCTCGCAGCGTGAATTGTCGTCGATGTCCATTCAAGACTCAAATTATTTCAAATTATGCTAATCATTTGGAAATCCACAGTCTGGAAAAGAACTTTTCTTTCTCATGCCCTGTGTGCGCATTCAAAACATTGAAGAGAAGTTGCCTGCGGACACACATCTATGTACATCTTAAAGAGCTTACAGCAACGCCACAGCAAAAATTGCTCCCAGTAACAACATCGAGATGCAACGTACCTGAATGTAATGTGTCTATTACGTCACTGAAGGATCTTGTAGCCCATTTAGGAGGACACTTGAAGAAGGGAGAAGAAATTTACTGCCCATTAAGAAAGTGTGCAAGTGGAGACAAGCCATCAACATGGGTAACTCGTTTTACAAAACTGGCAAACTTTAAAACTCATGTTTAAAGGTATCACAAGAATGCTACTCTGCCGTCGCTCTCTTCACACCTTCCTCATCCTGCCAATGAGGAGCTTGATGAATCTATGGATGTGGATGGTCCTTCTGGTGACATGACTCGTGAAGAAGCTGAAGAAGCTGATGACAACATCAAGAGTTCTCATGAAGAGGAGTTGTTCACTGTGACTCAAGCATGCGTCTTCATTGCTCAATTTTACTTGAAAATGGAGGGATTTCTGAACTTGCCCTCTGACACTGTCCAAACAATTTGTGAAAATATTGCCAAAATTGTAAAATTTTCCCATAATATAATGGCCACAACTCTTCTTAAAGAATTGTCAAAGATAGGTGTGAAGGATGAAGTGGCAGAGCAAGTTAAACATGTGACATTAAGTAGTGATCCTTTGTTTAGGGTTCATAGTACATTTATGGGGGCAGTTTGTCTCCTCACAGAGCATCGGCGCTACAAGTTCTTCAAAGAACATTTTAGCTTTGTGGAACCAGTGAAAGAAACAGTGCTAGTCAGTGATCCTGCTGTCCCACCTGTTCCACCTGGCGCTGTTCCAACTGTCCCACCTGTTCCACCTGGCACTGTTCCAACTGTTCCACCTGGCGCTGTTCCAACTGTTCCTCCTGTTGCACTTAGTGCTGCTGTGCCACCTGTTGCTGTACCAACTCCTGCTGCTACTCCTGCACAAAAACGGAAGACTATCCATGTGGTGGACTTTGAAGTTACTTTGAAAACATTGTTGCAGGATCCGCATGTCCAGAAAGAAGTTGATATCTTTTTGGAAAAGCAAGCGTCTGGCTTCTTTTGGCCTGATGAAAATAATGCCAACAGAGTTTATCAAGACTTTACCGATGGGGAAATTTTACGCAATCATCCAGCAAGCAAAACACCCAGCATTTGCCTCTTATTATCATGTGACGCTTTTGGTGTGACCAACCAACTGAGAGCGGCCAAAAACAAGCACAAAACAAATGGACTTTATTATGTCCCAGTTAATCTACCACCTGAGAAGAGGTCAAAAGTTGACGTGTTGCAGCTAAGTGCCCTTTTTCTTGAAGAGCATTTGAAAGTTGTTGGCAGAAAAGGTCGTTCTGAAAAACTGAAAGTCAGGTGGGATGAGTGTTTAAAACCTGTTATTAAGAAGCTCAATGATTTGTTTAGTGGAGGCATTGAATATAAAGGCAAGAAACTTCCTGTATATGTGATATTCATGCTTGGTGATAACTTAGGACAGCACCAGATTGGTGGGTTTGCTGAGAATTTCAGTGGTGACTTTTGGTGCAGGGATTGTGAGATACAGAGTGCAGCATTCAAAGAAAACCCAACTCTTGTGATTCCTCTAAGGACACCTGAGGACTACGAAGGATGTTCATATGTAGCTAGCACTCAACCTCAACTAACTCATTACAAAGGTGTTAAGTTCAGCTCTACATTAAATGAGTTGCCTGAGTTCCATGTTTGCCTGCCAGCTTTACCACCCTGCATTGCCCACGATCTTTTTGAAGGAGTGGTTGCGTATGACATGATGTGAATCATCAAACACTTCATAAGATTAAAGTGGTTCTCTCGTGAAGAATTGAATGCTAAAATTAAATCTTTCCCATTCTTTGGAAAAGATGCTTCAGCCAGGCCTTGCACCTTGATCTCAACCACGAAAAGCAAATGAAGATCAAATCCCCCCTGATTCTTGGAGTTCTTGGCGCCCTTGGCCGCCAGGACTTGGCCGAACTCTTCAAGGTTGGGACTCTACGTTAGTCAGTGACCTAGTCGGCTGCATTCATCCGCTGGAGAAGAAATACACATGGCACAGCTCATGATGTGGAAGAAGCAGAAGGGCCTTAGTGCTAATTGTTGATTATGATAGCGCTACTGGGGACAGGAAATTTATCAGGGTGCATTACATCTTTTGAAGACTTTCCGAAATTGTTTGGCAAACTCGTTCAGTCATCACCCATCCTGAAATAGCTGTACAGAAGTGGACAAATTTTGTCCTGGAAAGCAGTCGAGGGTCTGATGAGCTCTCCGAGCATGAGAAATTCAAGGGCAGTAAAGTCACAAAGTCACGTGCACTTGACCGGCTTCAGCTGCATGAATGTGAGTTGGACGGCACAAGTTTTTAACAGGCTGATTGCAATGGCATTGCGGAAGGAGAATCTTGAGCCTGTCTGACAACATTTCTCAGAGGAGCTTGTGGATTGAGTTAAAGTTTTTAACTGATGCTTTGACTGCTTAGATGGAGGTGAAGCAAGCTCAAAGAAGAAGGGCGACCCAGACCTTTAGGAATACTGTTCGGTCAGTGATCCAAAATTAAAGTTCCTTAAGATATCATTGGATATTTGGAAGATTGGGAAAGAGACAGTAAAGAGAGAGTGAAAAACTTTACGAGCAGCAAAAGAATTCATGGTGATAATGCCTTTAACAGACTGATAGCAGATACACAGAGTCGTTGGATGGGTCCGTGAAATTGGAAGACAGTTGTGAGGGGGGGTTTGATTAACCTGATTCAGACACATTGCTTTCAGAATCTTTGGATACTTTAGAAATGACCACGCAGTAGGGTACTTCGGAGGAAACCTAGACCGGAAGTCAGAGACAGAACGGGAGAAACAAAAGAGCGTCGCGCGGCCGTGCTGAGCGGTGGTGGGGGCCGGAATGGGCAGAGTGGGGGTAGCGAGGGGGTATGCACTCGCGTAATAGTCGGTTCACTCTATCTGTAATAGCACGCGTAATAATACGCGTAATAGTCGCGTAATAGCCAAAAGTTGTCAAAAGTTTATCAATTTGGTGTGTTTAGGCCGTTTTTATCTAAATTCCGATTAATTTGTGGCGTAATAGAGCGTAATAGCGTAATAGTCGGTACACAGGTTCAGAGAGCTCATACCCCCTCGGGGGGTAGCATGCGCGCGCCACCTTCACCCCCACTCCGTCGATTTCGACCCCCACCACCGCTCAGCACGGCTGCACGACGCTCTTTTGTTTCTCCCGTTCTGTCGCTGACTTCCGGTCCAGGCTTTCTCCGGAAGTACCCTATTCATGAGGTAACGGCTAAATTATAGGCTTGTACACCACTTGTTTGACGGGGTGTACTTCTTTCTAAATTTGTACGTGTGGTAGAATGCGGTAACCGCAACTTTTGGTCTCACTACAGCCAAATGTGGTAATTTCACTACACTTTCGATTTCAGTGTTCCTTCTCTCCCTTTCCCACGTGTCCAAACCTTAACCTAACCTTTTTTTGTTTTCTTGGATTTTTTTAGGGGATCACGCCCAATGCCACGGTTTGTTTAGGTAAGCTCAAGGTAGGTGTATACGCCAGGCGTGGATTGTCGTAACTGGCGCAGCATCGCGAAGCCTGTTACGACAAGACACGGTCTACACAAGGTAGGTGTACGCCCGACCGTGTACACCCACCTTGTGTAGACAAGGTAGGTGTACGCCCGACCGTGTCTTGTCGTAACAGGCTTCGCGATGCTGCGCCAGTTACGACAATCCACGCCTGGCGTATACACCTACCTTGGCCTGCGGCGCTAGCCTGCCTTGAGCAGGCTACTTTCCTAGTCAAACCGTAGAAATGAGCGTGATCCCCACAAAAATTAGAATTTGGTGATCTGAATCTTCACTAATGGGACTTATCTTTAGGTCGGGGGTCAGAATGGGTTCTATTTTCGTCATCAGCACACTCAAAATCCATGTGTGTACTCAGTACACACTTCTAGGTGCGTGCTTACAAGCATGCACTGCTAGGTGTGTACTTGAATGAGTACACGCTTATAAGTGTGTACTCAGTGAGTACACACTTGCGAGGTGCATGCGCGGCTTAGGGAAAACGCATGCACTTCTATGTGTGTACTCACTCACACTAAATTCTTATGGACTTTTTTATGCATAGTTATGCATGCGCAGAAACGTCCATATGTTATGTATATAATGCATCTATTGTCGTTACCAATCCAGAGCTAATGTACACAGTAAGCATTTAGTTTTTAAAAATACCTATGGACTTTCCCGCGCATGCATGTACTAATGATAAAAAATGCGTCCTTATGCATTTAAAAAGCCATGCACTTTAGTGTGTTTTGAGTACACACTTCAAAGTGTGTGCTCATTCAAGTACACACTTCTAGGTGCGTGCGTAGGCAAGTACACACCTAGGAGTGCATGCTTGTAAGCACGCACCTAGAAGTGTGCACTGAGTACACACAGATTTTGTGTGCACCCTCCAAAACATAGGAATCGATATGAAACTTGTCAAAAGAATGAAAGTACCGAAAAAAATTGTTTTTTTTTCTGCCGTTTTATGAGCGTTTTTTTGCTCATGAGACCGAATGGATTGAGGTAGAAAGCTGAATTTTTGTGTGTGGCGAGTCAAGGACATACCTAATGACCCTGCAAAATCTCAGTCAGATCGGCCGAGCCGTTTAGGAGGGGTAGTGCGCTCACACACACACACACACACACAGACAGATAAAACTTTTCGACCGCACTGGAGTAACTGGCTTCGCTATCGCTCAGGCAATAATAGTTTGTTTACTCCTTTATCATTGGCAGTTTTCAAATCGCGAACGTTTTAATTTTTGTCACCGAATTTGAACAGCATATTGTGTTTGTATGTTTCTCCAGGACGCAGCACTGAGTCTGGGACACTCTTCACCTGGAACAGCGAAAGCAACATGCTGAAACAGGATTTCAAATGTGATTTCTTCCGTGCCTTCATTCTTAGTCTGGACTCTGTCCAACGTCCGGACGTTTTTACCAAGAAATGTAGCAAAGGGGTATTTAAGGTTCTTTTTGACGATCAATTTTCAAGAACACCAATCATGAGTTGCAATCTTACAAACAAAATAAAATGCCAAGAACCGAATAAAAATAGGTAGCATGATTAATCGTCAAAAAGGACCTTAAATACCACTTTGCTACATCTCTTGGTAAAAGCGTCCGGACGTTGGGCAGAGTCCAGACTAAGAATGGAGACACGGCGAGATTTTCAATAACACCAATCATGAGTTGCAATCTTACAAATAAAATAAAATGCCAAGAACCGAATAAAATTAGGAAGCATGATTGGAAAGAAAGATAAACGTAGGTCCCTCAGTACCTGCACACAACATCTGTTACTGCAGGAAAACGATCCCGTTTAAATATTCAAATACAAGAGTTCTTCGGCACCTCAAAGCAAGAATTAGCGTTGCGGTCGGTTCATAACTTCGGAACTTACATAGTGAAGTGAGTCGTAATAATTTGGCTGATAATGCAGAATGCGCCGTGCTTTTCATAGTGCACCCCTCCTTTCCCGACGACAGGCGTCTTCTTGCTCGAAGGGCTAGGAAAGCATCGAGGCATCAATTAAAAGAGCGGAGTACTTCACTACAAGATCAAATGTGTGCTTAGTACACAGCTATGGGAGCGTACTTGCAAGCACACATCTATAGCTGTATGCTTGGACAAGCACACATCTATAGGTGTATGCTTGGCAAGTACACATCCATAGGTGTATGCTTGGCCAAGCACACTTTAATCCCACCCATTTAAAGGCACACTCCTACAGCTGTGTGCTTGGCCAAGCATACATCTATAGATGTGTGCTTGTCCAAGCATACACCTATAAATGTGTACTTGCCAAGCATACACCTATAGATGTGTGCTTGCAAGTACGCTCCCACAGCTGTGTACTAAGCACACATTTGATCTTGTAGTGTTGGTACTCAAATATAGGTCATGGCTAATTCCAACGGATGCTGACTTCGCATCAGTTGCTGAAACCAGGTCCCGAGGTGTCAATCATGAGGTGTTAATTCGTTCAACCAACATGACACCACGTTCAAATGAACGCGACAAAATGTCACGATCGTTTGAATGTGGATAAGTAAAGGGGGCAGTAGCACTTTGTACACGTGTTTTCCAGTTTTTGTTTGGACATCAACATGAAAAAAGACTAGCATGGATGAGAACCGGTGACCATGTAAAAACTCAACCTTTTTACACAATTTCCAAAAAATATTTTCTTTTAACATTAACGAAGGCATTTACATGAAGCAGGTAAAAACGGTCTGAAAATTATACCTGGTGTCACCGCACGCACGATTTCAACCAATGTTTTCAACTTTTTTTAAAGGGGTGCATTTGAAAGAGTATAAAATTGCCCAAAAAATGAACCTCGGGGTTCAAATCAGATGAAAAACATTAGTAGAGAAAGGTGGGATTTTTTTTCATAAATTTTCCATTGTATGAGCTTTTCTTGGCCGATACTAAACATCTAGTATTGAAACATCTCATATCTTTCGTCCAATATTAACCCCCGTGGACTTTTATTTTAAGAGTCAACGACAAGATTGATTTTGTTTCTGGTTTGCAGCCCGCTGAAGTTTCCAGCCGCAAACAGTTACCTTCAAAATGCTTAAAACAAAGCGATCCTTACTCAGGTAAGTTGTTGGCGGTGAAAAGCTGTATCCCTGGTTGATCGGAGTACAATTCAAAAGTGCGGCCCGAAATGGTATGCTCTGCCCTGAAAATTAAATTGATTTCAATTTTACACTGCGTTGAATGAAAATCGTTATTCATTGAATCTAGAGACGCCTAAAGCTGGTTCGAGGATGGTGACGACTGAAATGGCTTACTGTATTCAGTAGCACCCCTTCTGGACTGATCTTAAAACCCGCCTTTTCCTTGTTTCATTAGTTTAGTACTGCTGATTTTTTGCTGACAAAATAATCCCGCACCTGCCTCTTTTGCTTAATACGCACAACTTACACCCTTATTACGTACGTACTTATGCTATTTTGACAATTATCCTTACGCATCATCATTTGTTTGGTTTAGGCTTTCCCTGCAAACAATTTTTTGTTTCTCCTGATAATGACGGAAATTGATTTATCCCCTTCCTCAGCTTCGCGGTTTAATTTCAAGTTTACCACGACTTACCTCAAAGACAGCAGTATACAAGAAATGGAAGATCCATGTTTTTTGAAGTAGTGCCTCCCAGGTGTACCACTAACGATTTGGTTTTAACAAAACTCGAGGATCCACCTCTAGATGTGTGATTCAAGATATCTTACTCAGCTACGCGAACCATCTGGTTTGGTGTGGTATGGCATTTTGAGACGAGAAGATCAGTGTCGTAGTCCACCTTCGGCAGCACATCTTTCAATAGACGGGGTGTGCAGAAGTCGTACGGGGTTCCCTCCACTTTTGCAGTGGTTCCTGGAACAGTACTGATAATTAACATTGCCTATTTCGAGGGTCGACAACTGCTCACATTCGCTGAACGACTCGACTCCCGAAAATCTCTCACACTCTCAAAACACTCATGCACTCCCGACATTCGTCTACAATCCCTTCCATTAACACACACTCAACATTTACTCACATTTCCGTGTACAATCGCAGCATTCTTGTACTGTCAACACAGGAAACAATGCACATTCACACACATTCCTTCACATTTCTACAAAACTCTTTCACCTGCACATTCATAAATCAGTCTCCCTCATTCCTTCTCATACATTCCCAACACATTCGTGCGCATTCTTGATATTCTCCACACATTCCTTCACATTCTTGGAGTTCTCATTTTCAGTTTCATTTTGAAGCTTAGATTGGCAAGAAGAACAACGGTTCAAAAATTTTGTACCCGCTACGAAATTCTATAACCAAATTACGAAGAAAGAAATTGTATCCATCGTAGCACAAATTTCTGTATCGTATGATACTGGAAAGGCCGCACTGGTGAAACAAAGGCATTAAAATTATGCCCTTTAAAGGGCGTAAACGTTTTACGCCCTTCAAGGGCATAAATCGTTAATGCCTTCAGGAAGGGCATTAAAATTTTGCTTGTAATTCCTATACCATTTACGCCCTTCCCAAGGGCGTAAAACGATTTATGCCCTTGCAAGGGCGTAAAAGAGTATTTATGCCCTAAAGAGCGTAATTTTTATGCCTTTGTTTTACCAGTGTGCGTCCCGGGCTGCGTAACCAACCATGTTACAGAATTCTTTACTGATCTTTTTGAGAGCATATATGCCCACTATCAAAGACATCTGTAAACCCTGGGATCGTCATATGCTTTGAACTATCCAGCGGTTCAAAATGAACGCTTTTCAAATCCATTCTTACCGCAATGATTCGTGTATTCATCTAGGGGTTGGTAACGATCTGCGTAGAGCTTCAGACGCGTGGCGTACACTCCCTCTGCACCAGCATCCTGTATCGCAATATACCTTTAGCAACTCCAGAACATACTCCGGTCCACTTTCTCTTTAAGTTGGACACTGCAAGAAAAATTGTGAAAAGTACAACAAAACTACAACTAAAACTGTACCCCCTTAAAAAGCCTAAATGTTTAAAAAGTCCCAAAAATTGTCAAAGCAATGTTGAAAAAAACCAAACAGGCTTTGTCTAAATGACATTTCCAAATGTGCTTGTAAAAAATTGTACTTTAAAAGTACATAATTCCCTGTTAAAAAATTTGCCAAATTTTTGTGTTTTTTCTTGGGAAGGGGGTTTTTTATCAGGGTGTAAAAAAAACCAAAAGGTTTAAACTCCCCCCAATGGGAAAACGGCAGTCTTACAATAGCTTATTTAAAACTTTAATCCCTGATTTTGTTCTTCAATGTGTACATGAAAACCTAACGTAACAAAGTACACACTTACAAAATCTTATTGGAACGTGACATCCGTTGAAACGAACTGCAAAATGTCACTTTCTTTAGCATTGGTCACATTTTTTTGGGGTGTAATTGGGGCAAAATCATTTTTAATTGCGTGCAAATGCTAAAGAACTGACACTTTGTAGTTTTTTCAAGTGAGTATTTTGGGAATGAATGAATCTGTCGCAATAAAACCTTAAAAACGAATCAGGAAAAAAACGGAACCTTTTTCCCCCAACCCTATGGCGAAATATGACCGGGGGGGTTTCCGGAAAAAGGAACCTTTTTCCGGGGGTGTACTTGAAGCACATTTGTAATTTGCATGGGCAAGCTGGTTTGTAAGAGGTTTCGACATTTTTTGAAGGTTACTTGTGCATTTAGGTTTGTGGGTTTTTTGAACTCTTTAAAAATACATTTTTGCAAATCCAAGTGTGAGAGGCTAACCTATTTGTGCGAACCACTACGTCTCGGGCGAAAGTAAAACCCGCGCCCACGCGCAAATGTCCACTTTCCCAAAAGGGGTGGAAGCTTTGAACAAAACCAACTGTCCACTTTGAAGCGGGGGACAAAGGGGTTCCCACTTGAAAGCGTGAAAAGGGGTTCGCACAGTGGAGACGTTCACACTTAGCGTGCAAACGGTCATTTCAGGTTTGGAACGTTTTCCACTTACTACATCCTGCAATTCAGGAAAGTGATTGAAGCGGGGGGACCTTTGTCCCCGTCCACCTGGATTGTGCCCCGTACTAGTGCCTGCCCTGCCCCCCGGAAAATCTCGTCGCCGTCCGGCGAAAGCAGACTGAACGTGACGCCGTCTGCGCGCGTGGAGGCTTTCCACACGCACTGTAAAAAATTATTGTATATTCACGAAAAAAAATTGTTACAAATTCCTTAATTTGTTACTTACGAAATGCATTTCTACAGGCCGTTTCATAAATTATTCATCACAGAAATCTTAATTTTATGAAATTTATTTGTGAACACTGACTTATGAAATGGTACTAACGAAATATATTTTAAAGGCGACGATAGTACTACGGCAAGGCCATTTAAATACGAAATGTTTCTTTAATTTACAGCAAATACTTGGGTAATTTCGTTGCACAAATCGCTTGTAACATTACGAGATGGGGTGATGCCTTCGTCATTTTACAGAATGTTGCATGAATAAAGAAATACAGCTGAAACAAGTTTATCCCAATGATACCAGAGTGACACGGCACGAAAGCGGTCCACGTAATTTGGAACGTGCAAAAAGTTTGTAATTTTACAAACTCCTGCATGGACAGCATGGAGAAGATTTCATAATTCGTTTAGAAACATAAAAACGTTGAAAATTCACAAATTATTCATGCAACAAAATTACCCAAGGATTGTTTGTAACTTTATGAACAAAATTTTTACAGTGCGGCCTGCACGGAGTTCAGAGTTTCATGATAATTGATTTGTCCAGCTGATGACCAAAAATAATGACAGACAAAAAGTCACGACAAAGATCGGTCTGCCAAGACAGTCACGTTGATATCTGGCGTGAATGAACCGTGGAATTGGTGCTTTTATGGCGTTTCTTGGGAAGCGTGGGTAAGCGCGACTGCACAGTAAAAACTCTACGAAGAATCGCTTCGTAATACGAAGAAAATAAAGGCATTGTAAAATAAACGAAAAATTGCTTCGTATTATAAAGCAAATTCCTTCTTAAAACGAAGCAATTCTACAACGCCTTCATTTTCTGCGTAGTTACGAAGCAAATGCTTCGTAGGCTTTTAAGAGTGTGAAGTCACGCCGAAAAGCTAGCATGACTTGTCACGCTGATTCTTAGAATTACTTTCTTGCGTGACAGTTTATTCGTGCCTCTGAGGCGGCACGAAGTCACGCCGGTACACACTCTTAAAAGCCTACGAATCATTTGCTTCATAACTAAAAAGAAAATGAAGGGGGTAGGAGGACTTCGTCATTTACAAGGATCTAAAAAAGGGGGTCGACCGACTAAAAAAATTTATTGCAGATTTCGATTGGTCTCAGCAAGACCTTTTCAACGAGGGGTCGGAAAGGGGGTCCAGGAGCCCGACTTCGTCTATTAGTCAAATCAGGACCTTCAAAAAAGGGGTCGACCGACTAAAAAAATTTATTGCAGATTTCGATTGGTCTCAGCAAGACCTCTTCAACGAGGGGTCGGAAGGGGGGTCCAGGAGCCCGCCTTCAAGAGTTATGGGAAAAAGTGCGACGGACTCGTTTGCGCTCCTGCTGTGCCTCTATTGCAAGGAGTTGCAGTAGCATGGCAAATATGGGTATTTTCGAAATGAGGGTGAAGAGACAAATGAAATGGGCATATTCTAAGGACAGTTGGAGTAAAAAGTGTAAGGACTATTGCATATTGTGAATAGAAGGGCGGGCCTAAGTCACGATGGTACATCGATAACTTTGCTTTACCCGCTCACGGTGTGTGTGATGCGAGCGGGCCGAAGGCCCGGGCCTTCGACTGGCCAAGTTGGGTCTGATGCGAGGGCCGAAGGCCCGAGAAAAGGCCGCCGGCAGGCCAAGCTGGGCCGGCCCCCTGTCGAACCGAGTTGCCGGCGCAGCGAAGCGGAGCTGGCAACTCGGTTCGACGGAAGGGCGGGCCCTAGCTTGTTATAGTTGAATTGGTCAAAACCCTGTAGGGTTACATCAAAATTGCATATAACTTAAAATAGAGTTTGGAGATTTATCTGTAACTTGATGCAAAGCGCAGAGCATTACGACAAATTTTAATTTCAAAATTTTTTGGCGGGAAACCCTAGCTGATGTACTACTTTAATGTCCGGTATCTACTGCAAATTGTACTAGCATTACATGGTGTTTGCATCCACTGGTAGCCAACGAATGTGACGTCATATTCGTTAGAGTGTAAATTTTGTCACGTTCGTTTGAATATTATGCCACATTCGTTTGAACGTGACTCGGCCGTTAAAGCAGGGTGTCACATTCGTTTGAAAGTGTATCAACATTCAAACGAATGTGACATCATATTCAAACGAACGTGACAAAATTCACATTGGAACGAATATGACGTCACATTCGTTGGCTACAAGTGTCGCCTGAAGCACCCTAAATTGTATCACCGTTGGATGTGCTTAAAACTGCTTAATTACTACGAGCACATCGGTTTCTTGGACATTCACTGCACATTACCTTCCTTTTTCATTTTTAACTGTCCGAATTGATCATCATGTAGACAGTTCAAAAACTTGGTCTGTCCTCAGAAGTAGTGAATTCGCATTCAGAACTTAAATCAGCACTCTTAAAAGCCTACGAAGCATTTGCTTCATAACTACAAAGAAAATGAAGGCATTGTAGAATTGCTTTGTATTATGAAGAAATGCTTCGTATTACGAAGGATTTTGCTTCGTAATACGAAGCATTTCTTCGTAGATTTTACAATGCCTTCATTTTCTTCGTATTACAAAGCGGTTCTTCGTGGAGTATTTACTGTGAGAGCGAGCCAATCCGCCTACCTTGTCCCAGCCCTTGACGCCTCCCTTGATGGTGTAGTGTGCTCGCGATCCTGAAGGGTTGAGCTTGTACACTTTCCCATCCAGGGTGAATGAAGAGTTGGCGATGCGGTTGGCTACCCGACCGATGGTAGCACCGAAATATTGTGGGTTATCGACGTATTCTGGTTAAATAAAATCGCAAATAAGTTTTGGAACTTGAACTTGGAGAAGAATAGTGGGGTGGTAGAGAATGTCCGCATCTTAGAAAGGATGTAGAAGGTGCCTTATTGTGACAGCAGTACTTAAATGCCGTTCCACCTTCACTCTTAAAAGCCTACGAAACATTTGCTTCATAACTACGAAGAAAATGAAGGCATTGTAGAATTGCTTCGTATCATGAAGAAATACTTCGTACTACGAAGGATTTTGCTTCATAATACGAAGCATTTCTTCGTAGATTTTACAATGCCTTCTTTTTCTTCGTATTATGAAGCGATTCTTCGTAGATTTTTTACTGTGTTGACTTTGATCTGGCGCGGTTCCAGTATGTTGACAAGGGGACAGTTATTTTACAGACATAACACTAACACGTCAGACTTAAGAAGGATATGCCTTTTTAACTGGTCCATACGTTTCGAACGGCAAGTGAACTGCAACAACTATTGCTGCGCTGCAGACAAAAACTGCAACCTGTAGAGGATGTGCATGTGCACCACATTCAACTACAAAGATCTTTTGAAGTAATTTAATAGGGCTGCATCACTTAAGCTATATAGAATTATATTTGGTTGGCTAAAAACCCCTGTCGATTTACGGTGGTGCTTCTACTGTTGCAAGCTATATTTGTTCGAATACATTTCGGTGGCATATAAAGAAAATCTGACCACAGTATTTTTTTTTATTTTTTTAGAGAGAGAGAAAGGGGGGGGGGGGTAAAAATGCCTACAGAGTCAAAGGCTACAACAATGCAAAAGTTAAATTAACGGTGGAAGGGAGACCTGCCTTTGAGCGTGTCGTGGCCCAGCAGCACGTCCTTCGAGCGGCCCTGCTTGTCAGGCACAGTGATGGACGTCAAGTACGCCCCGTAGTTCATAACCTGCCGAAAGAAAGCAAAAGGTGAGAGCTGAAGTCTCCAAGCGCGTTTTTATGTTGAGCGATTATCACACTAAAAGCCTGCGGAACATTTGCTTCATAACTACAAAGAAAAATGAAGGCATTGTAGAATTGCTACGTATTATGAAGATATACTTCGTATTGCGAAGGATTTTGCTTCATAATACGAAGCATTTCTTCGTAGATTTTACAAAGCCTCCATTTTCTTCGTATTACGATGCGATTCTTCGTAGAGTTTTTACTGGGCACGTTTCGGGGTACTTTTAAACCTTTCTGATTTGCCGAAAGTGAGAAACATCTAATTACGTTTTTCTGGTGACTGGGGTCATGAATGTTACTATAGTCATGTCAATGGTACGAGCTATGGTATTTATAGCAAAGGCCTTGTACTACCTTTCAAAAGCATTGAGGCCTCAGGTTTTCACATCATATACGTTTAAACAGGTGTTCACACTTAGAATCCTACAAAGAACTGCACGTTTTTTTTTCGGAAGTATGGGAAATGCGCCAAAACCATTTTAGGGCATCGATCTTAACATCAATTGACGGCGATTCACCAACTTTTGTCCAAATCGGTGACATCAAGGCTTTGGCTCTGGTTGACTTGGCATGGAATGACCCCTTCGTATTATGCTTGCGCCATTTCCTTCGTATTATGGGAAATTTCTTCGTAAGACATTGAGAGTGCGGTCGCAAAGCGGGCCCTTTGGAAATTTGTGCATGTCGATATCTGCACTCGTTTGGGCACAGGAGCCAGGAGAAACGAAACAACCCCAACGTGAGAAAGGCTCAAGTGATTCCCATTGGTACAGTCTGGCGAAAAATGGGAAAATTTGTTTCAAACACCACACTGTAAAAAATTTGTGTTGCAATTTAGCAGAAAATATGTTGCTAATTTTCTTAGCGATCAAAGTTGTTTTCAAATGACTTTCGTTGTTTACTAACGAGTTGCGTCGTTCGTCCACAAGATGTTTGTAAACCGGTAGACAGCCTTATTTGCATCAATTTTTATTGCCGATTAGGTCACAGACCTAGTAGAGACCCGGTTACCCCGCAGTAACCACTCCTTAGATTGTCCGGGTTGTTTGTACGCAGCAAAATATTGTTTAGAAACAGCATAAGTCATAAAAATAATTAGCAACGAATTCGTCGTTTTAAAACAAGCAAACTTGTTCACAAACAACAGCGTTGTCGAGGTTGGTAATTGTGTTGTTGTTTTAAAACAACAATTTTTAACAGTGCAAGGAAAGTTGAGGTGCTTATCAGGATTTTCAACGCGGTATGAGAATAAGAGGGCGGCTGTGCTGCCTGTACTCATGTTCTTTGTGGCACAAACTATACATGTTTCGTTTCAGATTTGTCTGAAACTTCAGTGATAAAGCTTTAATTTTAGCAAAGACGTCTTCCACGCCCTAAATTTTGATCGTCAATATGACCAACACTCTCAGCAGGCAGGCTGCGTTTTCAAAAGAAAAGCAATATTTTTTCACGAAGTTGAATGATTTTTTTTGCAGTGCAGGCTCTGAGGCTGATATTTCTCTGATTTTGAAGTGTGTGAGCGTCGCAAGCCCGCAATGTAATATCACATGAGTACCTGAACGGAAATGTCTTTAGTTTTGATCGTAAAACGAAACACAGGCTGTCCCGACACATTTCCAAAGAGCTGGCTTGAGACTTGCACCCCAGGCGTTGCTGGCCCAGTGACATCTCGCAGAGGTTCCGTCAGAGTAGGCCCGCAGCAGTCCAGTGGCTTGACCACCTGAAAGCAGCATCCATGAAAATATGTATATAAAAGTCTAAAAGAATATGTAAGTTTTGAATGTGAGCTTTCCTCAGTATCTGAGCATATAATTGTGCATAAAAATTGTATAATTATGCTTGAAAAAGTGTAGTGTGTACATTATCTCTAAAACCTCGGAGAACATAATATTTTTTAAACACTTATTTTGTTTTCATTTGTTTGTTTTAAAAAATACTTGTTAAGCTTACATGAAGCAGCGACACGAAAGTTACAGCGTGCAGAAACATGTTCGGTCTACCACTGCACCCAACTCATGGGCGCAGCTCACGAAAATAAGATCTGACTGTTTGGCCAACGTAACGAAAAGAAAGTCTTACTGGCATATCCCTCCCAGAACTCCGGACAAAATCCTCACAAGACCGTGATCTAAAGTGGCTTCGTTTCGCGGACATCGTTTGTCTTATTTTTCTCCAGTCACCTTTATTGTCTCCATATTAATGATGTGACTTAGGTGTCTATGAAATGTGACAGAGTTTCGTTGTGTGCAGGTGCATTGGTACCCCTGCGCTGCGTCACGACTATCGTGTGATTTTACGGCAGCCACGGAGTGCAAGCGTATCATGGTTTTACTGCTGCTGGCACGACGATTGGAGAAACGTAATGAAACTTTCTTGACACTGTGAAACCCAAAGGCGTGTGCAGGAAAATGTCAGGCAGGAGCAGGTTTATTTGAGAAAAGCAGGGCCTTTCATTGACTCCCCTATGGATTTTGCTGTTTTTTTTTTTTTTTTTTTCGGGAATCAGAGTAACCCATAGTGGGAGTTCAGGGTCAAATTTTTAGTAACAATAAATAAAACAACAACAATCAGGGATGTTAGTTTTTTTGTGGCATTTTTGCCAGGTAATTTGAGTGTTTCCTGGAGCTCGGGGACTCTCTGACCGCTTTGGATCAACTTTGGGTCCTCGCATCAGAATAGAAAGAGGACACAATCGTGCTGCCCGATTCTAATTAGACTCGATTAGAACGACGTTTTCATGGAAGAAATTAGTTTTCTCTCTAAAAACCCTTTTGCCCAACCCAAATCCGCGCCTGCCGAGATGGGAGGGGAGTGGGGACTAAAAGCCAATTATCCACATAACATCTAGATAGCGGCTTGAAAGGAAATCCCCCCCCCTTTTCCATAGCCCCTAGAAAGCCGCCTGAGAGGAAAGCAAAAAGTGCTACCTCGCTCCCCCCCCCCCATAGCCTCTGGATCCGCCACTGCCTCCACCCCTCCCTCTCGCAGGGTCCTCCACTGCCAAATAGACGCCCCCCTTCCCCCTTGGCCTGGTGAGGCTCGGCGAGACCACCGACGGTAGGAACTTTCTCATTCGGTCCATCCAGTGGATGAGTTCCCAAAGGTTGTCCCTGGCGACTTTCGCTGGTATTCAGCCACGACCCCCCTCTTGCGCCTCTCTCACTTCTAATCTATGAAATGAAAAAGACAGGAACCAGAAGGAACGTATACCTACTGGTTCCTTGTTTTCGTTACAACTATATTTCATCGCGAACCCTCGGGACTTGGGACGGCCCCTCCCTGGGTGCCGGCCGTCCCGCCGACGCTGGCCGCCTATCTGATATAAGCTCAGCACATTCCGTCGTATATATAACCATTCCGCCTCCACTCACGCTGCGACGCTGCGCGGGGCACTGGTACTGGACTGGGATCAGTTCGCCTCGCGCTTCAATGACAGACACAGCCTCCGTGTCGTCCCTCTGCGCCTTCGTCTTGCCTCGTGGATAATCAGCGTCTTGAGCCCGCGTGGCCATCGCCAGCCCGTGTTGAAATTTCAAGTGTGTGAAAACTTCTGTGAACATTAACAAATGAAACAAGTCTTGCCCACGTCGAAATGCGTCGCGTCCTCGCGGCGTCCCTCCAGTTTTCTGCAGTTGAAGGTAGGGTAACTGTTCAACTGTCATTAGGGATGACAATTAAAATAAACCAAGATAATTAGGCCATAGTGTTGTCTCGCAGGGATCCTTAACTTACCTCGAAATGGCATCATTACGTATCGTAAGCGTCAAAGTTATAACCAGTAACTTATGACTTCTTTATAAAAGGATAAGTTATTTTTCTAGCTTCTCAAATTTGCATTGGGAAGTTCTTGCACCAGTCCATACCCTTAACCTTTAGCGAACTTTGCCTTATGTTACGTTACGAAAGCAGTGTTAGTTAAATGTTATGTTCAGTTAAGGATCACTGCTCTCTCGTTCATCCTGCCACTCAGTTCTCATATTTTCAGGATAACATCCTGGCTTTTGATTACTCTTGTTTTTCAGTCGGCGACGTGCGAAAGCGTCTATCGCACTCTTGATCGTCTCGTATCTTATCTGGCCAAATCTGCGGCCGTTTTCCTGTCCCGGTGAAGGTGAGGCACGGCCGGCGCAGGCTTGATGTGCGCAGTCAGTGGCCCAGTGCTTCGCCGCAGGATGGCTGGACGGTATCCGGTCAGCCCGGGCGTCGCTCTGATCATCAGCGTCAGGGACTTCAAGGGCAAAGACGAGCCGCGCCTGGGCGCAAGAAACGATTTCATGTTCCTCAAGAGCACGTTCACAGTTACGGGCTGCAGAACATTCCCAGCCACAGAGAAGCTGAACTGGAGCCAATCGGATTTCGTAAATGCTCTGAAGGAAGCTGTGACACCCTTTGAAGAAGAAGAGGCTTTTAAGCGCGGACCTTTCTTTCTGTGCTTCTCGACGCATGGCGATGAAAAAGGTTTGTTCCTGTCCTCACTTTTAAACGCTGTTAAAGAAACGTAATTCCTAAAATGACGCATTCGCTGCCTTTGAATTGCGATCACCTCACGAACTTTTCTTCGCTTTGCGTGGAAATAGTACGAAAGTTAAAAAGAGAAAGATCCTTAACGTCATTGTTATCTTAAGTGTGAACTCGTTTAAATTGCATTGGAAGCGTATTGAAGAAGTTTTTGCATCATAAGTGCTTCAAATACTGAATTGCATTTACGTATGTTCTCACTTTATCACACCAAAATGTGATTATCAGGGCCTAAACGGGCCAGATCATAGACATTTTTTTTGCATTTAGGCGATAATTTTTTATTTCTGCCACATATATGATGATTTGAGAAAATCACATTGGCCTTTTTATCAATGCTAATTGTATGAAACTTGTCACATTAGAAACATCAGTAGTTGCGATACAAAGGTTAGTGCCGTTGCAACACTGATTATCCGAACGCTGTGAGTATAGCGTCAATTGGTGCGATGCAAAAGCTTTGCACATGAAGTGCAATGCCTCCCTATTCCCATGCATCACTGAGATTCCAAACGCCATGAGTATAGCACGTATGGCACGATGCGCTGTGATATCGCACCATACGTGCAATGCCAGAGCCATATCGCACCATAACCATAGGTGCAATGCTTTCCGAAAATGCCCTATGCTTTTGCATGGGAAAGGGGAGGCATTGCACTTCATGTGCAATGATTTTGCATTGGACCAATTGACGCTATACTCATAGCGTTTGGATTCTCAGTAATTACACTGCGGCAAAAGGCTACGGAAAATTCTGTTAACAGCTTGTGGTAATTCTCCGTAGCCCCCTTGTCAATATTCTCCGCAGGCTCTTCCAGTATTTTCCGCAGGACCGCACAGTATTCTCCGTGGGACCTTACAGTGTTCTCCGTAGGACTATACAGTCTTCCAGGCCCTACGGAGAAGACTGTGCGGTCCTACGGAGAATACTGTAAGAGCCTACGGAGAATATTGATAAGAGGGCTACAGAGAATCCTGGCAAAAAAATTAACTGAATTTTCCGTACCTTTTTGCCACAGTGTATACATAGGGCAATTTCGGGAAGCATTGCACGTATGGAGCGATATCTCAGCTGCATTGCACCATACGTGCTGTACTCAAAGCGTTTGGAATCTCAGTGAAGGCATTTTGTTCTCAATTTGCAAAGTAACTCTTCGCAATGCACAGAAGACAGTCCGTAACACGACACGACGGTGTGTAACTATTTGAGGGCTAGAGTGTGTACCTGACTCCGTCATTAAAGTTTATTTTAAATTTCAGGTATAACACTTTCCGACGGCGAATATTTACCCCTCAACGTGCTTCGGGCTATACTAGCGGAACAAGAAACGCTTCGAAGTAGACCGAAGGTGATAGTGATTCAGGCATGCCGAGGGGCGATGTGTAGTGAGTATCCGAGAACACTTCGCGCTTAAATCCGTGGATGGGTCTCCTTCACAACCAAACAAATTTCACAGTGACCAAGGATGGACCTAAACTCTCGAGTTTTAAAGTCACAGCTGACTCTGCCGCAGACCCATGGGGGAATACAATGGGTATCGCATCGTGTGTACAGACACGTGTGTCCTACAGCAGTGATCTTGGTAAGCTTTCAAATATAACCTAATTTGTGCCCGAAAAACGATGTACGCTATGTGCTCAATTCATTTCGGCTGATGAAAATGACGAAATCGAAATTCCCTGAGTTTGCTTGTTGGCGCAAATTGGAAGCGCTGTTCCTCCTTTTCTTTTGGTCTTCATGTCAGTTACTTTAACAAACGAAAAGCTTAATTGGTCCCCGAAGCACGTTAAGTTATAATTTTTTTAAAGTACCCTCCATTGAACCGCACGGTAAAAAAAAATAAAAAACTGCTTCTGGTTTTCCCAGGAACTCCTTAAAAATCGCTTTTGTCTCTACCATAGGCTGCCTGGGAAAACCAGGTACTGACCTTAAGGGGGGACCCTGGTGAAAAAATCGCCAATATTGACAAAAATAGTATTTCCAAAGTTCATAGATAAAAATGTGCATAGAAGGTTTCAGATTCAACAGGTTGAACACTTTTGAGCTAAGTGGGTAGTTTCTTTATCATTTGGAAGGAAATAACATTGAGATCAGTTGTCGTTGGCTTCTACGCTCAACTTCACAGCTTTGCTCAGTCAACAAAAAATTTTGTCGTAGAAAGGCTTCATGCGTTCCTGGTTGACACCTACATGAGTCGTCTTGCTTGGACTCTATTCATTGATGACTTGTCGACAAATTTTAGTGACGGAATCTTGATATCAGCCCTACTTTTTTTAAAACACACCTAAAAGCTTGAAAAAAGGGAAAAAAATCACTTTTTTTTAAATGTTAAAATTTGAAATCTGATATCTCAGGACAGAAGTTAAATTTGATAATTCCGTCACTAAAATCTCTTCTATACATCTTTAGGATAACCCAAAAAAATTTTCAAGACTTTCCGTTCCAATGAAAGACGCAGGAAGATTTTTCCCCAACGCTCCAAAAAACACTAAAAAGCCACTTTTCTCAGAGACCGTTCAACATTTTGGATTGAATTTTGTTTTGGGAACTCACCATAATGAACCTAATAATTAAGCAAAGTTTCAACTTTCTGGGATTATTTTGAAGCCTACTTGAAAGTTTCACCAGGGTCCCCCCTTAATTACCGTGCGGCCACAAGGCCCCATTATTTAAGTACTATTTTTTAGGGGTTCCGACGAAGGAGGACCCCTATTGCCCGGGGCTCAGAATTCTTCTTCTACGGACCCCCCACGATGGACATTTCGCTCCCGCCATATTAATCCTTTTCATAATACAATAAAAAGTCCAGAAAATCTAAAAAATTTATCGTGGAAATTTTCCGTAAACGACTAAAACATAAATTTGCAACAATCAAGCACCCTTATCCGTTCACATTTTCCAGAAACGTTTCGAAGAAAAAATGTGCTACTCCTCAAAACTAAACTTCCTGCCTCATCAAAGTGACAAAAACTAATCACTGTTCTAAGAAAATGATGAAAACATGAAGAAAAAGTCTCCATGACAATGTCTCACTGCCATCGTACCAACTGTCAAAATTTTAAGTCCCTGATAAAAAGAAATGAAAACGCCGTAAAATTCGAAAATGCCAATGTTCACTCATTGCACACTGACAAGACATTTAAACATCATTCAAATCTGTCATTAGTAAAAGGTTCGCAGCAGAAAAGACAGAATAAATAGATTTTCAGGGGTTTGCAACAATTTTCCCGGCGTCTGCGCCCTTTCGAAAATCGCGAGGCTGAAAAAAACAAGTAGTCGCACATTGAAACTGCCTCTCCATTGTTGCTGAGGTTGGGTTGTTTGGCTTGCTTTTAAAGGCTGCGGTTCTCTCTCAGCCCCAAAATATAAAATTTACTCCCTTCTTCGTATTTCTAACTTCAAATCTTCTTTCATTAACTTACATTATTTCCACAACCGGAACACCGTGCAATGCGTAAGCATTGGAATTTTTTTTTTATATTGCAAGGCAGGTCAAAAACTGTTTCTTGTTTTCCCACGACCTTCCTTAAAATCACCTCTGTCTCTACCATAGGCTTCCTGGGAACACCAGGTACCTCATTTAGCGTGCGGCCACCAGGCCCCGCCCCGCGTTACTTAAAGAATTTGTTTCATATTGCAAGGCAGGTTCCATATTTATTTTGCACTTCTGCAACGAGATACTCCGCGGTCTCCTTGACAACGACGGTTGCACGATCCAAGATGTGAAGGAGGGCGTGGTACGTGCCTTGACGGGAATTCGCAAATTCAACAGCCAAGAAATCGTCTACACCACGCCGGAATTGTTTTGCGACAACCTCCAAGGAGCCCTTGTACTGAAGCCCACAAATCGCGACGCGGTGCAGAAATGGCGGGCGATTGTAACCCACTTCCTTTCGAAGATGCCATGGGAAATTGAAAGAAATGAAGAGGACATAAAAATATCAGGTAATGCACCACGTTTTGGCATGCCGATGCATGGGGGAAAGTCGCTACTGAATTCATTTCTTTCTCGCACAGGAGCAGGTCCACTTTTTGTTCGTGCACCAGTTGTTGGCCTGCTGCACACTGCAAACCTAACTGTCTACTAAGTACACACTTACAAATCGAGGGGTCCTATTCAAAAGATCTTATCTGCGCGTTCCCCCCAAGACAATCTTATCTTAAACGCAGGCGAATTTCACTCAGTTTGACCACTTGTGATGGGTACGAGAGTAAGCGGAATATATTTCTGCATGCACTGTTGGTTTCTTTGATCTTTCATCTTCACATTTCAGTGAATTTAATCACAAATTATATTGATTTGTAGCTGTATCAAATGATCAAACTGAGTGGAATTTGCCTGCGTTTAAGATAAGATTGTCTTGGGGGGAACGCGCAGATAAGACCTCATGAATAGGACCCCTCGAAATGCGTGCTTGCAAGTACACACTTACAAACGCATGCTTAGCCAAGTACACACTTACAAATGCACTGGTATTTCTAATGTGATAAGTTTCATACAATTTGCTGCGATAAAAAGGCGAGTGTGATTCCTTCAAATTATCGCATCTGTGGCAGCAATAAAAAATTATCGCATTAAAAATGCAGTAAGTCCCTTAGGTTTTGGCCGGTCTGGGCCCAGATTATCACAGTTTTGATGCGATAAAATAATAACTACGCTAATTATGCGATAAATGCGCTAATGCAATCCAAAAATTATTGCACTTAAAATGCAATAACTTTTTCATGACACTACTAAGGCCATAAAAATTTTATTGCTTTTTAAATTAGTTCATTATTACACTTAGAAAATCAGTGTGCATGCTTGCAAGTACACACTTACCAACGCATGCTTGACGCCGTATAACTCCATGCGTCAAGCATGCATTTGTAAGTGTGTACTTGCAAGCATGCATTTGTAAGTGCGTACTTAGTAGACAGTTAGGTTTGAAGTGCACTCACGTCAACCTTGGGTTGCCTGCGACTCCACCTTTTCGGACGCTGTTAAAAGAAATCTGATAATTCAGACCACTTTTGTCAGACTTCGTGGTCTAAATCTGCATTTCAGACTACTTTTCAGAAAGTTTCTGAAAACTTCTGGCTGGGCGTTAATTCAGTATATTGACAAACAATTTCAAAATGTTTATTGCTGAAATTGCAATTTCAACATTGAAAATGACAATGCGATATTATTTCGAAAAGATAAACGGTGAACGACTGGATTCAATCACAAAGGATACGGCGCAGAGTCGTTTTTTTTGTCCTATAAATGTAGCTTATGCTGATTCTGACTGCCAATATTGGAATTGTTTTCCAATATATTAAAGGCAATATTTCGATATTGGTACCACCTATTCCCGAAAGTCGATCTCCATTTCACATATTCATATTGATTTTTAATTGGATACTTTGAACTATTGGATATTTATATTGATACGAAAGTAACGCGCAGCCCTGCACGTCCCACATTTGTTTTTCAGGGCTTGCGATGGCAATGAGCGGAGAACGAAGACGGTGCTGGGCATTTCAGCCTTCTCCATGGCACATTCACATTGAAGCAGCAACAATAGCTTTTCTATCCGCGTACGCGTTTCTCTTTGATGCAGCTTTCCCCTTGGACGAACCCACCCACGAGGTGACCACAGCGGAGATGGTGGACGCTGGGAAGTTCGAAGAGCAATCTTCCATGGTATCGGTACTTGAAGAGCCCTCACCTTGCGTGGTGAGTTTAAAAGAATACTCAATATCTACACTACAAAATCCACTGTGTACTTGGTATACATCTATAGGAGTGTATATACCTGCCAAATACACATTTATAGGAGTATACTTGCCAAGTACACATCTATAGGAGCATACTTGGACAAGTACACACCTATAGGAGTATACTTGGGCAAGTACACATCTATAGGAGTATACTTAGGCAAGTATATATTTATAGGAGTGTACTTGGACCGCCTATCCGCTTTCACAAGTATACTCCAAGATTTGGCAATTAAAAAACCAGAACCCTTGACTTGACCAAAGTTTGTTGTCATATTTTGGAAAGAAAAAAAAAATTAGTTCATTGCCTCTATTTTTTATCGATTTTCTATACGGCCGTTTGTTGACGATACACAACTGTATCGCCGATAAATGTACTGAACGCATCGCCTTTGGATTTGGAGTGCAAGTGGTTTGAGTTATCTTGGGGGATGCGCAAGTGTCGAAGGTGCTGCTCTGACGCTCCCTATAAACCATCTCAAGGTACTTTACCCCCACTGATGAGGATCTAAAATAGGCTTGCTATCTATGATTTCGTTAACAGTATTAAGGCGATGACCGGAATGTAGCTCCCCAGCAGCCCATCCGTTTTGGAACAGAACAGTGAAAATAGGCACAACACGCCAGTGTGGCGTTTGTCTGGGCGGGATATTAAGAGCTTTCTTGTCGGTTGTGCTCGGTTTCCCAATTTAATAGCGTACTTTGCATTCCACCCAGTAGAAACTTTTAAAAAATAGCACTTAGCTCGTCTAAATAACAAAGTGTGTACAAAGCATGCTTCAGGATGAAGTTCTCTACCTATACAGCGAGGCAACCGTGTAGCGTCAGTTGGGGTGGGACACGGGGTAAAAATGGGACAGTTGTTTCTTGAGCAAGATTTGATACTTTAGCACTCATACCATATCAAATGTTATTTACACAATAAAAGCATCACGTTTGGAATGGCATGAGCTTTTAAATACCAAATCTTGCCCTCGGAACAGCTGTCCCACTTTTACTCCATGTTCCATAATTACCCCAAAGTAAGGGAGTATGGGGCGATTTGTAACAGATTTCGGAATTCTCTACACAAAATTAAGAACATTCTGCATATCGGTGTCAAACTTGTGCCAGTTGAGCAGTCTGGCCCTTCATCTAGACTGTGCAGCTCCATTGGATCAATCTGGAGTCCGTTATCTTTGAAATCTAAGACGTTTTCCAAACCCTTGCATGCTGTTACGAATCGCCCCAGCTTGGGGTGATTTGTAACAGCCATGGGGCTTTTCATAACATCCTACACATTAAATGAAACATCGTCGGGAATGTTATCTCCTCCACCAGTTGTTCTTCGGGTGTCCGGCAGACGTCTAAAAATCTACATTACAAGCTGCCGTTGACCGCCTCAGCATTAACCGACCGGCTATGTCAACCCTAACCTCACTTTTTTCAATTTTAGAGGAAAGCCTAGAATAACTCGCTTTAAAATGCAATTTGAGCTGTGTAAATGTATTGGAACAAAACAGCAGATGATTCGAGAAATAATTCAAGCATTTAACAGCAAAAACTACTTAAATTCTTGTCTTTATACGGGTCCGTTACGAATCACCCCAAATGCCTGTTACGCAAGAAATCCGTCCCTAACTATCACTGGACAAAGTAAAAGCAACTTAGGCCACGTGTTTACATTGTAAAGGGGTCACGCTTCAAGGCCCCAACGGTACTTCGATGGTGATTCATACCTGGGGAGCCTCAGACAGAAACTTCCTATAACTCAAAATAAAAGATTTGCCTGTTTGCCGAAATTTCGGTGTACCCTATATTTCAGACGCCCTCCAAAACTATACCTGAGCACCGATCGCATCCGCTTCGATTGTTCAAGGACCCTGCACTTGAAGCGAAAGAGGGGCCATACTCAGATTTTCCTCTGCTTCCTCCACTTAAATTAATAAACGCATTTGTTACGAATCGCCCCTGTTACAAATCGCCCCATACTCCCTTACCCTACGTGTACGTGGCAAGTGTCTGCCACCTGGATTTCACATGCCGGTGCCGGGCATGTTTAACCTGAGGCATGCTACACTTGAGTTTGTGAAGTAATTGTTTCCAAGTGTGATAGTGAAAGGTTTGTAATTCAGTTGCAATTCCGGTCACTGCATTGTAGGCTGCAGGAGCTGATTCCGCCTTGGACGTCAACGGCTTCGTGGACCAGCTTCTCAGCGCGGCCCGCGCGGAGATCTCCAACCGTGGCATGGAGCAGGTGTCCTTGCCCGACATCTCAGAGAAGTTGAAGCAGAAGGTCATTTCCATTAAGATCCCGGGCAGGTTCCTGGCCTTCAACGGGTGGGCCAAGTCGCTGGCCTCCCTCCACCGCATTGGCGACGCGGTCATGTCCACGAATGGCGACAAGTTGAGCTTGGATATCCCCCTGAGCCTCACTGACCTGCAAATACGGTGAGTCACGTGCGCTGCCAGTGCGGGGAAGGATAAAAACTGCAGGAGCGGGAAAGAATCGAACAGACCCGACTCTGACTTTTCTCATTTCAATATTACGGAATACATTTTACTCGTAGTTGGCTGGCACACTATGATTGCGTGAGGGGCCGTTCAAATATGACGTCACACTTTTTAGGCTCATTTTTCGACTCCTCCCTCCCCCCTATAGTCATAAATGGTCACTATTTAGACTCAACCCACCCCTCCCCGTGACGTCACATTGACCAAGTTACTATTTTTGGCAACTGGGATAGATACGCGACTAGATAATCTTAATTAGGTGCCTAAATTGGGATTTCATAACAATTTGATTCCATTTTGACGAATCCGGTCTTACGCTAACTTGTCCGAAAGAATCTGAGGAAAGTGCAGCTTAAATACTTAAGCAAGTGATAATTTTTAAAGCTGAAGTAGGCGGGGATTGCTGACAAGGGGTCCCCAACCGGCGAAAATCGGTGTACACGGGTGAAAAAGTCATTAAAAAAGTCACTAAAAGTCAAAAAAGTCAGAAAGTCACAAAAGTCAAAAAGTAACAGAAAAACCACTACAAAGTATCCAAAAAGTCACGAAACAGCCTTTAAAAATGCCAAATTTCAATGAACGCTGGTGGAAAAGTAACTTTTTAAGTCAAAAAAGTCATTTAAAGGTCAAAAAGTCATTTAAAAGTCAAAAAGTCATTAAAACGTGTGAGAGTGAAAATAGTTCCAAGGCAAAACAATCGCAAAAAGTCAGAAAAGATACTCAAAAAAGTCAAAAAACAATCAAAAAGTCACTAAAAAGTCAAAAAAAAAGTCGTTTTGACTTTTAAATCAGGTACGCTCGCCGGCTCGGTTTGGGGGCCCCCTTTATTTCTGAATCAGTTTATTTTTAGTGGCTCACTCCCTTTTTTTTTTCGGCAATTACACTGTTTAAAGTGTGATGTCACAATGCCCTTAAACCCCCCC